CGTCCCAGAAGACAGAACTTGACTTCTAGCTTCTCTTGACAAGTTGCCTGCCTTGGCTTCTAGTTTGTTTTCACTAAAGTTCCTCTCTTTGAGATCCTGGTTTTGGCCCTCTAGAAATGCTGTTACTTCCAACTCCCCTAACCCCCAGTCAAGCCCTGCAGGGCTTCTCCAGAAAGGGAGGTCTCACGATGACCTCCAGGAGCCCCAGCCTCCAAGCAGACAGAGGAACTGCAGCCGTTGCTACGCACCACCCGAGAGGCCTGCCAAGAGGGAATGTGGAGCAGTGCTGCTGCTGGGCCAAAGCGTCCCGGTGCCGGCGGGCACGTTCTTTCACCAGAGAGAACCTTGGGCCTCTGTGCTCCCCTAGAGCCCTCCTCCCCATGGGCCCCATGGGGCCAGTCTCTCTTTACTCCAGTGAGGGACGGCTCCAGAGAAAACTGGCCTGGGCACTGGAGGTGGCAGTGTTCGGGCAGCAGCTCACCCTTGGCAGCTCCAGCTGAGCTCACAGGCCGAAATTCAGAGTGCACAGTCCTGTGTGAGCGGCTCAAGCTCCCCCTTTGGATCAGACATGTGCCGCTCAGTTGCATTATGTAAGCGCTCTGCAGTCAGAAGCAGAAGTGGAGGAAACCAACTTGGGATTTCCAAAAATACTAAAAGGACAGTAATTCAGAGACTGTGGAGCTAGCCTTTTAAAAGAAGACAGACAAATCTTTAGGCAAGGACTCCTCCAGAGACGGCAGATTCTGCGTTGAGAAATATTTTTGTTTATTTGTTATTAATAGGAGGAAGGAAAATGATTGTGAACCCTTTTTTTGGGTCTAGATCGCCCTTGACCAAGTTTCTCTGCTTCAAGCCAAGGTTACTGAACTGTAATGATGATATTGTTGGCTGGCCCAGACTGGCTGCATACGGCATTAATAGAAATTAATTTCTCCTATCGGCTTCCCAGGTGATGCAGTGGTAAAGAAGCCGCCTGCCAATGCAGGAGATGCAAGAGACAAGGGTTTGGTCCCTGGGTCTGGAAGGTCCCCTGGAGTAGGAAATGGCAACCCACTCTAGTATTCTTGCTTGGAAAATTCCATGGACAGAGGAGCCTGGCAGTTTATAGTTCATGGGGCTGCAAAGAGTTGGATATGACTGAGTGAGCATGTGCACACGCGCACACACACACACACAATTTCTCCTGGAGAGTGGGATGAACTGAGACAGTAGCATTGACATATAGACACTACCATGTGTAAAATAGCTAGTAAGAAGCTGCTGTACATAACACAGGGAGGTCAGCCTGGTGCTCTGTGATGACCTAGAAGGGTGAGATGGGAGTGGGGTGCGAGAGAAGCTCAAGAGGGAAGGGATATATGTATACATATAGCTGATTCACGCTGTTTGTACAGCAGAAGCTAACACAACAGTGTAAAGCAATTATACTCCAATTAAAAAAAAAAGAAATTAAGAGTGCTTAGGTCAAATGGAAAAGAATAACTCAAACCCACAATTCACAGCAGGGATGGATCTCTATGTATCACTTGGATAAAAATATATTTATTCTTTCCTAAGTTCAAAGAGAAAGATGAAGATCAAAGTTTTCACCCCTTTGGGGCAGATGGAAACATTTTCTCAGCAGTAGAACAATAAAAATGCTCTGTTGGGTAACCAGTGTGAATAGCTCAGAGAAACTCAAATTTCCCTGCCAGCAGACCACAGTTCTCAATCTCCTTCTTGCTGACCAAGCTCCAGGGAAGAGCCACCCAACATGGACAGTGCACGCGTGTTTAGCTCCCAGCAGTGGGAAGAGAGACACATTTGTTCTTACCAGGCATCCTGGGTCACCTCATTTATTAATTGAAGAATTTCAGTTCATATTTTATTTCTACCAATTCCTTCTGTCCCCAAAGTTCCTGACGACAGATGCAGCACAGAGCCAAGGAGAAAATGACAGAAATAAAGGGTGAGGTGAATGAACTGTTGCCCAACACCTATCTCGGTGGCAGTAGGGACAGAAAGGTAATTTTAAAAAAAAGCAAAAAACGGAGGGGCCTATTTGGAGCACCCATTTTAAAATCTAGAAGCAGCTCACACTCCCTCTTTTTTTGGGGGTGGATTCTCACTGAAGTACGTCCTTCCGGATGCAGTAAATTTGGGGCAGGTAGGGCTGGGGAAAGTGGAACAGGACTTAGCTAACTAGTACTCAACAAAAAGAAAGTCCTGAGGTTCAAATGCTACAATGAGCCATAAACTTCCCACTGCCACCAAAGCAAGGAATGCACTAGCCCTTCTCCTACGCTAATAAATCTACATATTCTCAGCTGCCTTTCTCTGTCCATTTTTGCTCTTAGAAAAGTATCCTTCATGGATATTTTAATCTGATTTATCTGCTGAAGAACACAGTGTAGGAGTCAGTGTAGGAAGTGCAGGAGGATAACAGAGATACAGATTGTGTCCCCCTGACCTCTGGCAGAAGGCCCGGAGCCCACTCTTTTGAGAAAGGCTTCTCAGAAGCAGCAACTGAAGTATTTGCAGAGCTAGAATGTTCTGCTGCGGCACAGTTCTCCCAAGTCACTTCCAGATCCAGAAACAGCCACCGGAAGACTACACATATTGTAGTTATGCAGAGTTATGTCTGGTTCTATCACTCCCCCAACTGCCAACAAAATGCACAAAACCGCCTGCAGTTCTGCCTTCACTCTGAACCTGGGAGCAAAGATTATGGTGGGGGTGGTATGAATGTGTCTGCATCCAAACCCAAGAGCAATGATCATATTCCATCTATTTTGGGTGATTTCACCTCTCGTCTGATGCCAAAACAAATCGCGCTTCTTGCCAATGAGCTGCAACACGTATCCCAAGTTGCCAGGCTGGGTCCAGTGCTTCTCTGTCTTTGCTGCACATGTCAGCTTTAAAGACCCTAGTGCCCAGGCCATAACCCAGAACAATGAAATAGAATTGGGAGAGAAGGGGACCCAGGCATCTTTCAAAGATCCTTAAATGATTCCTGTGTGCCGCAAGGTTAAGAACCACCACTCGAGTATGTCCCCCGGTTTTATTTATTTCATGGCGTCAATTCTACTAAACAAAGGCTGGTTACTTGTCTTGTGCCACGAAAACGTAGGCTCCAGGAACTCTGGATACCACATCTGCATGTTCACTGCTGTGTCCCTAGCAGCCATGCCTGGCAGATATTAGGCACTCATTAAATAATTGCTCAATTAACATCTGCATTCTTGCATGGCCTCTGACTTCAGGATTTGACCCAGGCATCTGAGCTACCACATTCCTTTTCTCTCTCACAAGCTCAAAAGCGCAATCACAAAAGGGTGACCCACAGAAAACCATTAAATGCCTAGTTTCTATCGTATCTGCGTTTAACCAGCAACAGAGTTTTTGTCACTTGATCTGTGACCTCCACTACCACAAAAGAGCAGGCAGTCCTATGCAATGTCCTCCAAAACCTAATAAAAGAAGAAACTCCTTCATGACAATACAACCAGCAAGCAGTCTGGATTCTATTTACTCTGCTCTGACTGGCATGCTGCCACTGGGAGAGGGCAGAGTCTGAGGCTTAGTCCATGCTAGGGATGGCAGGTCATTTGAGGGTGTTTGTCAAACCCAACCTCCTATCTATAGAAACTGGAGCAGAGGCAGAGCAATAGAGCAGCTGAAAACTGTGTGGGCAGGCTCTCCATAGGACTGTCTTTAGTGGTTCTCTCAATATAAGTGGGGCAGGAGGGGCACTGAATAGATCCACTGCGGGGGGCACTTACTCTCCTAGCAGGGCACACACCTTGGAAAGGAAAGAATGGTGGCGAGCTGGAGTATCCTGGGAATAACTCTGCCTCTTGTGCAACAAGGCCACAAGCAAATATCCTCCAGAACAATGCAAACAAACCAGAGGACTATGGCAGGGCGTGTTGCAGACAGATGGGAACACAGTGTCTCAGAACCCCTTGGTTTCAAACACTGCTTAAAGAGAAAACACATCCACTGCCTATTTGTTCATCTCTTCCCATGATCCTGTCCATTCCATCTCCTGGGAGTCATCAAAGAGGGGCCCTCAATATCACAGCTTTCCTGCTCCCTAACCTCAGCACATCAGTTGATAAAAGTCTAATCCACAATCGCTCAACCGTGGTTTAAAACCAATCTCGAGAGAAGAAGAGGAAGGGACATCTTTGGTTCCTTTTTTTTTTTTCCTGGCAAGTCCATACCTGGTGAGGGAATTCTCCAAAGTGGGTTAACCACTGTTCTCTGCTCTCAAACTCAGGACAAAGTGTCTCTAACTGAACATGCCCTTGAGGTCTTCGTCTATAATAGAAGGGAGCCTGGCACTTTGCCTTATCTGATGCTAAGCCAGAGTCTCTAGATATCTCCCAGAGACAGGATGATCTCGGTGGAGGGAAGGCAGGATGGATGAAAAAAAACGGATTAAGAAAACCCCAGAAGCTTAAAGATGATCTTCAGGAGCCGGGCAACGCGCTCTTTACTGGATGAATGCAGGCATCTGCTGTGCTGTCAATTCAGGAACCTGTCCCCGCCCTCACACAACAATAGCTCCTGTCCCCTCCGCCATCCCCACCCCGGCCCCAGGTTCACCCCCGTTTAGCCACTCGCTGGTTGCCAGGCCTCGGGCAGGTCAGCTTTGTGTCTCCAGGACTCAAAGAGTCTCACCCGTACAACGGGGATCACGATCTGTCCCACAGGAACGTCGTGAGGACCAACCAAAGAGGGAGGCACACAGTGCGGACCCGCGGTGTCAGAGGCTAGCCTTTCTGAGGCTAACCCTCCACCCCAGGCCGATACTACCGGGACTCACTGCTTCCCCGGCCCCGGCTTCTCCCCTCCAGGGACTCGGCCCGTCGCCCTGCTGCACCTCCTTAAGGTCGGGGTCTTTCGGCAGAGGCGACTGGGGCCAGAGCCTCCGCTTCCGAGGGTGGGTGCCACAGAGGCCAGGCTGCGTGCCCCGGACCCATGAACCCCACCCCCGCCCCGGGAGCCCACCTCACCTCCAACGGTTAATCCCCACTGAGGAGGAGGCCGCGAACCAAGGGTCGAGGATGTAAACGCAACGCACGCAGTGCGCCCCGCGCACGGCCGCCAGCAGCGCCGGGTTGTCATGGAGCCGCAGCCCCTTGCGGAACCAGTGCACTGAGGAGGCACCGTCCCCACGGGCCGCGGGCGCCTGGGCCGCCGCCGCCGCTGAGGTAGTCGCCGCCGCCGCCGCCGCCATCACTCCCCTGACTGCTGAGGCCGCCGCCGCCCCGCCCCCGGAGTCGCCGCGGGCCTGGCCCCCGGCCCGCCCAGTGACCTATGACGCCGCGGCTCCTCCCTGGGGCCCCGCCCCACGACCCTGGATCGCCTCTGCTATTGGCTGAGCGTCTCTCGCCCGGCGATTGGCTCGGAGGCGCCCCGGTCTGTCCCCGCCCCCTCACGTTCCCGCCATGTGTGGGCTCTCTGGCGAGGAGCCGGAGGGCGGGCTAGGGTGACGCAGAGTGGCGCTTTCCTAGGAGGTCTGGGCGTGGACGGTGTCTGGAGGGACAGTGGGTCCCAGACCTGTTGCTTGAAGCTGTGCAGGCTGGCGGCGTTGCTGTGACTCCAAAAAATGACTAACAGGACGAACAAATGGTTGCCCTGCGTCATCATCGTCATCGATAGCATCGTCACCTACCTCACTCTGTACATCATTACAACCTTTTACTACAGCCACTATTTATTGGGTGCATCTTTTAAGCCAAGCAGCATGATAATACCCTTACACTGACGTGTGGAGAGGTGCCCTGCTGTGTGGCAGTAGATGGGTTGGGGGTCGGGACTGGAAATGGGGAGGATGTGATTTGAGATAGTAATTATGCCATCAGATGAATTTTTTCTTGTTGTTCTGTGTTTAGCAGACTCAGTGCTACCTCTGTGTGCAAAGCACTGAACTGAAGTCTGTGTGAGATTGACACTCCCCAGTCCTCCCCAGGGGAGCTGAAGAAGGAATTCATAGGGCCAGGACTCCATCTCAGGGCAACCTGTGCTGATCATGCTCGGCTGCCTCTCCAGTGGACTCTGAACTCTCTGCTTAGTGCCTGTGGGCACGACAATGGAAGGATAAGACCCCCTCCAGACAGGGGAATCTTGAAGATCACATCCAGGTTACTCATTGCCTAAGAGGAAACATACCGTAATCACCCCTGTCTCCGGACAGGTCGTAAACATTTTCTGTATCTATCAGGATGTAATCACAGGCTTACCGATTATTAACTGGTTGGAACGTGAACACACGCTTATTGATTATTAACTGTTTGGAATGTAACTGCGGGTTTATTGATTATTGACTCTTTGAACACATAACACGTGAATGATGGGGTTATTGTAGTTGTATTTACCCTACCATTGTTTATGTAAGTCTCAAGGGAATTGGGATGGTGGGTTTGGACACATACACATGGGGTATAAAAGATTTTCACAAATGCTGGTCGGGGTCCTTGGCTAAGAGGAGACTCTGCCTTGGACCCGCCGGTGTAATAAACTGTACTCCACTATCTGCATTGTCCTGAGTGAGTTTGTTTCCCGGGAAGCATGGCTATAACAGAGCCAAGTGGAGCCCTCTTCTGGGGGTTATCAAATGAAGAATCTGTCTCAATTTGGCCCTAGGTTGTGCTTGTGCTCAGAACCCTTCCTGAATTTGGGAATGAGAAATGAAGGAGTTTAGCAATATAGTCAGCAGTTTAGCAGCATGAATTGGAACAACTCTGTGAACCACTGTGTTGTTGCAATCCTAGGCGCTCTCATTGTCAGGGCTTTGTACAAACTGTTCCCTCAAACCTGGATCACATACCACACCCCGCCCTGTTTCTAACTGCAGTCTGCCCTGTGTCACTGCCCAGCGTGACTTCCCCAGGGCTTCCCAGGTGACTTGATGAAAAAGAATCCACTTGACAATGCAGAAGACATGGGCTCAGTATCTGGTCGGGGAAGATCCCCTGGAGGAGGAAATGGCAACCCACTCAGTATTCTGGGGAAATCCCTGGACAGAGGAGCCTGGCAGGCTACAGTCATGGGGTTGCAGAGTCAGACACACCTTAGTGACTGAACAATGACAAAACAACAATGCCCAGTGTAGAGGTCGTTTGCTGTCAGTGTAGACAGCACGTCTCACTCTGTGCCTTTTATCACTGGCCTTATACATGGGATTGGAATTTCTTTTCTGTCTGCCTCATTAGATTATAATCTCCTGGAGGGCAAGGACTGTGGCTCACTTACAGCTATATTTCCAAGATCTAGCTCAGTGCTTGGCACTAAATGCTCAAGGATTATTTGAGTAAAAGTTGGACAGGGACTAGAATCTCAGGTTGCCAGGAACATTAATGGTCTATCCCCGTCCTGACTCTTTTGTTATTTTTTAATCCTCTCTCCAAAGTCTTGCTGAATGATGAGATGCCACCTCTTGTTACTTTTTAAAAAATATTTATTTATATAATATTTAGATTGAGACATAGTTGAGCATTACTATTCTTTTGAGACTTTGGGTTCCCTCTTCTAGCCCCTTTTCTCTCCACAAGAAATGGAACAGAGAGTGTTCTACTAGGAATGGAACAGAGAGTGGAAGGAGATTGTTCTTTCCTACACCCTCAAAGATGGGTATTTGCTTTTTCTCCTCTGAACTCCCATGATGCTTTCTCTATAGAGCATGAGCTCTATGAGGGCAGGGACTGCATTTATCTTGCTCATCAGTGTATTCCCAGCACTTAGTTTGGTACCTGACATGCGGTGGGTGCTCATAAATGTCTGCTGAGTGGCTGGGTGATCATCATTTCTCTCTTTTTCTTTTGTTTTTGGTTGACATGTCTTGCAAGTTTATTTTAATCTATAGGTTCCTCTTTGCTCTCTCTCTTTCCTTTTGGCAGTTTATTTGTTGCGGAAATAGGGTCATTTTCCCTGCAGAGAGTCCACATTCTGGGTTGTTCTCATTGACTGCATCTCTTAGAATCATTTAACATACCAGTCTCTAATCCTGTACTTCCTGTCATTTGGAATTCAGGATTTTTTTTTTTTTCAGACAAAGATAGCTTATAAATGAACTTTCTCCGGGAAGCAGGCATAAGATATCGACTTTTGTGATTTTAAGATTGAGCACTATTTTCCAATGCCATGGCTCTTTTTATCCTATAGGTTATTATGAAAGGTAGTGTGGTTAAGCCCAAGGGCTTACACATTTGGAATGACTGTGTTCAAATTCTGATTCTGCTTTTGCTCCGTGTGATCTTAGGTAAACTAGTTGACCTTTCTGTTTCCCACTTTCTTAACCTATATAATAATTAGGATACAGTAAGTGTTTGATAATAGCTAGCTACTATTATTCTAACCAGCAGGATCTCTGTCTGTTTTTATTTTCCTTGCAACACCCATGCCCCGGGTCACAAAATGAGTGCTCCATAAGTTGCTGAGTAAATAAAAGATTTTAGTCAGTTTTTTAAAATCCTCAAAATTATACCAGTAATGGAAAGGGAAGTCATCACAATCAATCCCCAAACAAATCAATTAGTTTTTATCTTCATGTAGCCTTCCAGACTTTGTCCATAAACATCTAAGTTCTGCAACTTTAATCAAAGCAGAGATGCAGTGTTGCATGCATCTTTGAACAAAATATTAAACATGTTTCATAAGGCTGAGCACTGAAGAACTGATGTTTTCAAACTGTGGTGCTGGAGAAGATTCTCAGCACAGAGATCAAACCAGTCAATCCTAAAGGAAATCAACCCTGAATATTCATTGGCAGGACTGAAGCTGAAGCTCCAATACTTTGGCCATCTGATGTGAAGAGACAACTCACTGGAAAAGATCCTGATGCTGGGAAAGATTGAGGGCAGAAGGAGAAGGAGGTGGCAGAGGATGAGATGACTGGATGGCATCACCGACTCAATGAACATGAGTTTGAGCCGACTCCGGGAGATGGTGAAGGACAGAGAAGCCTGGCATCTGCAGTCCATGGGGTCACAAAGAGTCAGACGTGACTTAGCGACTGAACAACAACATATTGCTGTGTCATTGTCTTTGTTTTTGTTATTTTTATTTTCAAGTTGATAAAGATGAATTATCTTACCAAATGATTGCGTATTGTTTGGGTATAATAACAGGATAATATCCAAGAATCAGGACGTAAATCTGGCACTGGATGGAATACTGGAGTGCAAAGTCCACTTTTGGACTTTGCAGTTCAAAAAGGACATAGAGAAATTGGAGAGGGGGGCCTGGAGTGTTGCAGTCCATGGGGTCACAAAGAGTTGGACACAACTGAGCAACTGAACTGAATCAATGAGAATAGTAAAAATATCTATTTAACTTAAAAAAAAAAAAAGGAATTGGAGAGAGACCAAAGAAATCTGTAAATTGCTAAGTAGGTGAAATGTACTATGAGTTATTACATCTTTGAGATAAAAGAGAACTGAGTTATACATCTTGTTTTTTATTTATTAACACCTTGCTGTTTACTAGTTGCCATGTGGATGCCAAACGGTTACTTTCCATTAAAGAAAGTGAAAGTCACTCAGTTGGGTCCGATTCTTTGCAACCCCATGGACTGTAGCCCGCCAGGCTCCTCTGTCCATGGAGTTCTCCAGGCCAGAATACTGGAGTGGGTAGCCATTCCCTCCTCCAGGGGATCTTCCCAACCCAGGGATGGAACCCAGGTCTCCTACATTGCAGGCGGATTCTTTATTGTCTGTGCCACCAGGGAAGCCCATGTTTCCACTAAGGGCAGAACGAAAGAATCTAGTTTAGGTTAGAAAGAGTAAGCGATCTAAGGAGGGACTTCATGCCAAGTGGGCTTCCCTGGTGACTCAAGTCGGTAAAGAATTCACCTGCAACATGGGAGACCTGGCTTCGATCCCTGGGTTGGGAAGATCCCCTGGAGAAGGGAATGGCTTCCCACTCCAGTATTCTGGTCTGGAGAATTCCATGGACTGTATAGTCCGTGGGTTCACAAAGAGTCGGACACAACTGAGCAACTTTCACTTTCCCTTTTTATACTAAGTGGTTTAGGAATGAGAAAAATTAGCCAAGTATTGGGAAGTTTCTTTCTTCGCTAAAAATATTTAAGAAAACAGAGGTCAGAGTCCTGTTTTCTCTTTCTGTAGTGGTCCTGCATGGAGACTGGATTAGGCAGTTTTTTACATTCCCTAAGAACTACACTTTGGATAAGTATTTGACAATTGGTTGAAAGGTCACCAGGAGCAGGAGAGAGGA